AGAGATAACACTGCTAATGTTAATGGTGTTTATTTTCTAGGAGGTGAATGTTTTTCTTAAAGGGTGTGTCGAAACTAAAAATATTATATAATTAATATGGATGGAAGGTAGAAATAAGTTTTTGAGCCAAGTGCTAAAACCTTAATTAATTATTTGACTTTCTTGGCTAATTTAAAGAAAATAATTCAATTATTTAACTTTCTTCTCAAATTTATATCTACTTGCTTAATTTCCTTTACCTAACATCTATGTTGGAGCATGCCTATTGCGTGAGCAAGACGATTATGTGGAAGACATAATATCGTAATTCGTAGCCATATAATAATGTCCTTTCAAACATTTTTGTTTAACAAAATTGTAAATAATATAAAGGTTTGAATATATAGTTTCATAAAACTATATATATATATATATATATTTCTTTTGAAAAGGGAAGCTGCAAATGATTCTAGCACAATAAAGAAAAAAACATACATATGATCACATAACATAATTAAGTGTTAACATTTTAACAATATTGTTACTTCAATGAAGCAAAGAGGATTTTATACGCTCCCTGCTCAATGCTTTTTAGGCACTTGAGGGATTTCTGACTTTGGCAAAGTTGGTAATTCAGGTTTAGGAATGACAGATATCTCAAGTTTTGGCAATGCTAGAAGTTCAGGCGTTGATAATGTTGGGATTACGGGGATTTCTGGCTTTGGTAGAGTTGATAGCTCAGGTTTTGGGATTTCAGGAAATTTGGGCTTAATTAGGCAAAGTTGGGATTTCAGGTAAATGTGGCAATTCGGGCTTTGGTAGAGTTGGTAGCTCGGATTTTGGAATTTTAGGGAATTCAGGTAAATGTGGCAATTCAGGCTTAGGAAACTCAGGCAAAATTACTTCAAGAAGATGGCGCGACTCTGCTTGTTGCACGGAGTGCCGGTGTCCATTGTGTCTGACAGGGGTTCAGTATTCACTTCTCATTTCTGGAGAGCATTACAGCATGATTTGGGTACTAGACTCAACATGAGCACAGTTTTTCACCCTCAGACTGACGGTCAGTCTGAGAGGACTATTCAGGTGTTGGAGGATATGCGTCGGGCTTGCGTGATCGATTTTGGTACTAGATGGGATCAGCACTTGCCATTGGCAGAGTTCGCCTACAACAACAGTTATCATTCTAGCATTAGGATGGCACCTTTTGAGGCACTGTATGGTAGGCGGTGTAGATCACCTATTGGATGGTTTGATTCAGCGGAGGTGGACTCCCTTGGTACTGATATTCTTAGAGAGGATATGGTGCGTGTTCGTGTGATTCAGAGTAGGCTCTTGACTGCCCAGAGTAGGCAGAAGAGCTATGCTGACAGAAGGGTTTGACCCTTAGAGTTCATGGTGGGTGATCGAGTTTGGCTTCGGGTATCGCCCATGAAGGGGTGTGATGAGATTTGGGAAGAAGGGCAACCTCAGCCCTAGGTTCATTGGCCCATATGAGATTTTGGAGAGGATGGGAGAGGTGGCTTACAAGTTAGCTTTGCCACCTAGTTTGACAGCCGTGCATCCAGTTTTCCATGTTTCTATGCTCCGGAAGTATGTTCCGGATGAGTCTCACGCGATTTCGGTTGAGTCGGTGGAGTTGAGTCCAGATTTGACATTTGAGGAGGAGCCTATAGCTATTTTGGACAGGCAGGTTCGCAAGCTCCGGACCAAGGACATCGTTTCAGTGAAGGTTCAGTGGAGGCATCGATCAGATAGGGAGGCGACTTGGGAGTCCGAGGATGATATGCGGGTTCGATATCCCCAGTTTTTCGAGGCTTCAGGTACTTTCTTTTACTTTATGTTCGAGGACGAACATGGTTTTTAGTGGTGAATGATGTAATGACCCGAAAGGTCATTTTGGTAATTTTTCATGGAAATGACTATTTTGCCCTTTCGGTAGTTGCCCCGAGTCCCATGTTTTGTGGTTGTAAAGTTGGTTTGAGGAAAAGTTGGTAAAAAGTTGAGTTTTTGAGAAGTTGAGTTTTTATGAGTTAAAGTTGGTTAAAAAGTGCTTTTTCGAGTCATTTGGAGTTTCGGGACTCGGATCGGATTTCCGTCGATTCCGACAGTTTTAGAATGTCGAAACGGGTCTGTGTGAAGTTACGGAGTTGAATTTGGAGTTGAAACGAAGAATTGGGGTCCTAAGTTGCTAAAGTTGTGAAATTTTGATAAAGAGTTGACTTTGGTCAACATATGAGGTTCCGAGGCTCAGATTGAAATTCCGAGAGTACCGTTGGTTTCGGGAGGCGATTCTAAGTCTAGAATGAGTCTTGGTTGAATTTTTAGACGCTCCGTTTGAGTTTCGAATTTTTTTGGCGTTAAACTAGTTTCTTGGCATCTTATTAAATTTCGGGTCAAGGAGTCCTCGAATTCAAATTCCGACAGCTCCATTGAGTCCGGAACGTCGAATTTAGTGGGGGTACATATTTAGTTTGTGTGCACGAGATTCCGAACGAATCCCGAGGGTCCAACGGGGACTTAAACTTTGGTGTTATTGTTGTGTTTCAGCTGCAATTTCAGCTGCAATAGCAGTCTTTTTTAGTCAAAAACCAGTAACTATTTTTCCCCAACTTGAAAAATACCCATTTCTCCATTTTTAGACTTTGAGAGCTCGAAAATAGGTGATTTCAAGTGGGTTTTCGCAAGGAATTCATTGGGTAAGTTATTTCCAACTTATATCTTTGATTTCCATCGATTATTTATGGATTTTAACATCAAAATTTGAGATCTCAACTGAAAAATTTGGGGGTTTTTTTGCCTAATCCGAATTTAATAGAAAATTTGAGTTTTTGAACTCATTTCAACTCCTTTTTCGAAACGGTTTTCACTATTGGATTCTAAATTTCTTGGGGAACATTTTTCACTAAAAATTTCCAGATTTCAAGAATATTTTTCGGAACGAGATTTTTTTTGACCATTTTACCCTTTTCTCCAAATTTCACAATATTGGTGTTGTTAGATTCGTATTGATTGTGAGATTCCATTTATGAATAGATTGTGGTGATTTGGAGCGTGCTCGAAAGGGTAAAACTCAAATTTGAGTTACTAGTTGAAGTGTTTTGAGGCAAGTGTCTTCTAAACTTTGTTAAACTCTTAGACTACACATGACTACTTTTCTAATTGTGTTGGGGAGTAATGGGGATTGAGGATGAGTTTTATTTGTTGATTGAAATTGTTGTAATTGAAAGATGGGGAATAAAACGAGTTAAATGTGTTATATGTGACTTGAATTTGTTGAATAAGTCATGTGATAACTGATATTGAGGGGATAGAAGAGCATGAGTAGGCTATGATTGATACAGACGATGTGTAATACTATGATGTGTTTGATGTTGAGACAGATGATGTGTAATACTATGATGTGGTCGTGATATGGTTGTGATTGAGACAGACGATGTGTAATACTATGATGTGGTCGTGATATGATTGTGATTGAGACAGATAATGTGTAATACTATGATGTGATCGTGATATGATTGTGATTGATGACATGTGCTTATTCATTATTCATCCCATGTGTGAACTATCTATTGCATGAGTTCTGAGACACTGATATGATGATGGATGGATATGAGACACAGTTGAGACTAGCTCCGGCTAGAGATATATGAGATGGACTAGCTTCGGCTAGCGATTTGGATGCCGATGGGATCTGGTTTCGGCAGTGATACATGGTCCATGTGTGGCCCCCATGGGTTCTGATTTGAGTATTCAGCGCGGACTGATTACGTCAACAGATATGTATCGTAGGACAGACATGCATCATGACTACATGACATTATTATTGCATTTGCATCGCATTTGACTTCATCTTTGTCTGAGGTGTGTGGATTTTACCTATTTGCCCCTCTTCATGTGATATATGATCTATTTGCTCTTACATGAGGATATGAGGTTGATGTTGAGACACTGTTGGATATATCTGTTGATTATGAATTGTGTAGTATAGGTTGTTGGTTTGCTGTTAGAATGAAGTTTCAGTGGTTCGGTTGGGATTGAAAGAAGTTGTTTGTAGCTGCTAGTTTAGCTTAGTTTAGTGTTACTTGCGAGTACATGTTGCTTTTGGTACTCACCCTTGCTTCTACACAGTTGTGTAGGTCGACAGCTCTATCAGATCCGACTTATTACTCATCTTCAGATTAGAGCTTCCAGACTTACTTGAGAGGTAGCGGTTCATTCCAGACGTGCCCTCAAGTTATCTATATTTATTGTTTTGTTCTATTCTAGAACTTTACTATGAGACTTGTATTTTTTATTCAGATTCCGTATTAGAGGTTTGTACATGTGACAACCAATTCTGGGGTTATGTTGAGTTTATTTAAAGACTTCCGCTTATCTTTCTATCTTATTCTTGTTTTATTAATTCCGCATCGTTGGGTTTTTGGGTGTTAGGCTTACGTGTCCGGTGGGGTTTGGGCACGTGCCATCACATCCGGTTTTGGGGTGTGACATTGTGCCCTTTTTCGAAGGGTTGCAACATTTCCAAATAATTGTAACATTTACGATAAAGCACAATAAACAGTTATTAACACAATTCTTTGTTGTCTATAAATAGAGGGATTTCCTCTCATTTTAAAATAATAAAAATTCTGAAACTCTTCTTCTTCTTCTTCACAATTAAATATTTGTGTACTTTGCTCCTGTTGAGTGGCTCACTGACATCATTGCTTATGTTACAGATCCTGGTATATTTTTACAGTCATTAATTTATGCTTATGTTATTAAGGATAAATGATAAGATGTAATAATTTTCATTTCCCTTTACATTATTAATGTTTGTTACTACGTAATATTGTATGTAAGAGAATATAGTGTTTTAGTTTTAATTACTAATAGCTTTAAGTATTATTTTATAAATTTTATGCTATTAAAGTAATTTTACTAGTTTCCATATAAAGTAAAATCAAACAATTTCTCATTTCACACGTTGAGTTATAATATAAACATGTCGTCTACTATCATTCTCTCTGTGTTTTGAATAGCTGCAACAATTTCTGTCTCTACGAAGGATAGATCTAAGTTTCTCCAACAGCTTGAAGAGAACACCAGATTTCAAGGGGATGCCAAATTTGGAGTATTTGAATCTAGAGTGTTGTAGGAGTCTTGAAGAAGTTCATCCTTCCCTGAAGTATTGCGGAAAACTCATTGAGTTCAATTTGAGAGAATGTAAAAGCCTTGAGAGGTTTTCATATGTTAATGTGGAATCTCTTGAATATCTGGATCTAAAATACTGCTCTAGTTTACAGAAATTTCCAGAAATCCTTGGAATAAGGGAACTGCCATTATCTTTGAATCTAAAAGACTGCTCTAACCTTTTATCTCTTCCAAGCAGCATTTGTAAGTTCAAAGGTTTGGTGAAGCTATCTGTGAAAAGGTGCTCAAAGCTTGAAAGCTTGCCAGAAGAGATAGGTGATTTAGAAAACTTGGAGAAGCTTGATGCCAGTTATACTCTAATCTCATGTCCTCCGTATTCCATCGTCCGGTTGAACAAGCTTAAATCATTGACTTTTAAAATTGATAAATCAGAAGATAATGTGTACTTTGTGTTCCCTCTGGTGAATGAAGGGTTACTCTCATTAGACTATCTGGATCTCAGCTACTGCAATATAATAGATGGAGGACTTCCGGAAGACATTGGATCCTTATCCTCTTTGAAAAAGTTGTATCTCAGTGGAAATAATTTTGAGCATTTGCCTCAAAGCATATCCAAACTTGGTGCTCTTGAACACTTGGACTTATCAGATTGCAAGAGACTTACACAGCTGCCAGAATTTCCACAGCAATTAGAAACAATAAATTTAGATTGGAGCAATGCTTCGATCTGTAATTCGTTGTTTCAGAATATCTTGTCATTGCAGCATGACATCTGTTCTTCAGATTCCTCGTCACTAAGAACGTTTGGGAGTTGGCCGTACGATATCCCAAGTTGGTTCGACTATCAGGGAATGGGAAGAAGTGTATCAGTCAATTTGCGTAAGAATTGGTATGTAAGTGATAACTTCTTGGGATTTGCTGTATGTTATTATGGCAAACAAATTAATTACATCAAAGTTCATTTGATTCCCTTATCATGTGAGGATGGGATGTCGTCGATGACCCAGGAATTTGCCTTATCCAACCATTCAAAATATCGTGATGGTGTTATTTATTTTTTGTTGGTACCTTTTGGTGGCTTATGGGACGCATCTAATGCAAATGGAAAAACATTAAGTGACTATGGGTGCATTAAGTTAGATTTTATTAGTGAAATAGATGATGATTTTGGAGAAAAGTTGAAATTTGGAGTTCGTTTGTTGTATAAAGTTGAAGCTGAGCTTCAAATTGGGATAAGGAAGAGCAGATATGAAGAAGAGGCCACTTGCTCCTCTTCTAAGAAACAAAGGCAACTCTTGCAGCTCTTTCCCAGAAGATTCGGATTATAGATTAAATATAGGTAGGTATATACCTCATGAAATTGTGTTCTCTGTTTATATATAAATTATTTCTTCTCATTCTTTCCTCTATTGGCAATAGGTGATGTAGTATCAGTAATCAGCAGCGAGTTTGGGGACACTGCCTATGAAGGGAACATGTACGTACAATTTGGGTTGGCAAAAATTCATTCTTTTTATATTTCATTTCGAAATATAATCACATTTTCCATTTCCTGACAAATACATAAATTGCAGATGGATGAAAGAAGTTTTCGAATCCAATAATTTCTCCCCAACCATCAAGTTCTACTGAAGTTGCATAGTCTCCATTGATATCTACTGTAAAATGTTACATTCTTATTCTATTTTAATAAGTGCAAGAAACACATTTGATTAATCATCTCTGAAATTAATGTAATCTAATTGGCAAAGAAACACTGCTATATAATTGAACCCCTCCCTATTCTCATTTCTTGTTCAATGTATTGCCAATGTCGAGCACGAAACGATATTTCACCTCCGATTTCAGAACACGTTCCAACGCTGTGTTCACATAGTCCATTGGCACAACTTCAATATCTGGTGTTATGTTATGCTTTGCCGCAAAATCCAACATTTCTTCAGTCTCTTTCCTCCCTCCTATGATTTGACCGTGTTTCCATAAGTAGTGGAAACACGGGCAAATCCACCGTTTTCTTTGGTGCACCAACCATGACAAGATTTCAATAACATAAACAATAGAAGAATTCAAATGTAGTCTCTATTGATGCACTACTGTCAAATTTACACAGTAGAAGTAGTTTGTGAATAGGAATCACTGAAAATGGTTAATCTATTAGTGTGTGATCGATCGGGTGCTGAAGTATTCTATGACATCTTGCCACTTGCATCATATCTTGTAATTGCATCATATGAGAGGTATTCATCATGCTTAACTCTAGCAATATACTTTTGCGGAGGCCATTTTCATATTTGTACCAAGATAACTATCTTATTACATCGGTTAGGAAGTGTTACTCTCAATGTGAGACTTTAATTTCGATGCAATTAAGTCATGCCCCTATGCTGGTGAAGGATACCGAGTAGAATTAACTCGCAATAATTTGATTCAACGGAGTTATTTTCCAAGGTATAGTCTTTCTTTGTAGCTTCATCCACTTATATTTTGAGCTGTCCATTGTGCTCATATTATTGTGGACACCATACCAATAATTCAATTCAATTGGAGTAGACCCCATCTTCCACATTTTGCAAGTGTGGAGCTCAAATATTCTACTAATGAAGCATAATTTCTATTCATATTCATAATAGAAGCAACTTATGAATCGGAGTTAATCCAGAAGGCGGATTATTAAGTAATTCAGAGCATTGAGTTTAGAACAACGAAAAAAAAGACGTAGTAGTAATAGGAGTTTACGTATTGTTTGTTTCTTATTTTAGATATACATTTCTTATTAACATATATCTGACTTGATATCTGAAGGAGTAAGTATGACATAATACACTGGCGTTAGGCTCGAAAACTAAGTGATCTTTGAAAAATGCAAACGCTACTTAACTGTTATTTGGAATATGCTAATAGTAATTTTATAGTATATAGATATTTAATTACATGATGTTATAATCTCGATTTTCCAAAGTCTTTGTACGGTAAAGTTTTTTTATATCTTTTTTCTTTTCTTTTTCAAATTTTATGATAGTAGTATTATCATCTCGATTATTTTATTAATATTTCCACTTGAGTAAATCGTTTTAATCAAGATTTTTACAAAAAGAACTAAATCACCTAATGGTTATTGGTATTTGGACCTAAAATATCATACCGACTTTATTGATATCCATTAAAACTCACATTTGGAACAAAATATTATTTCTCAATCGAAATAGACTAAATTTATAACGATAATCTAAATAAAATGGTATAAAATGAAACTTTTACCTAACAAATTGTGGGCCTTTTTTATTTGAAATTGTAATGTAAGGTTATACCTTAGTAATTTTTTTGTGACTGATCGACAAAGTATGAAGACTAGACTTCAAAACTCCAATGTAATATGAAACTTTACCTAACAAATGTGGACCTTGTTTATTTGAAATTGTAAATTATTCCAAGCAATTTCTTTGTGACCGGCAAAGTATGAAGAGTAGACTTTAAAAACTCCAGTGTAATATGCACACAATGGACCACTATACAAGTGGATAATGAAAGGTGCAAAGAAAAAAGAAGGGTAATTTCTTTGTCACCGACAACACGACTTGACTTATTCCATTCATTGTGATGGAAGATACCAATCCATCAACGATAGTAAGAAAACTATTTATTTACACAAACATTTTACCATAAATACTAACAGATATATAACAGATATATAGGGAGAGAGGTGAGTGTCACAACCCGATTTCTCAAGTCATGATGACACCTACTATAACCCACCAGCAGGTAAGCCAACCCGTAACCCGGAACAACAAGTAATGGGTCTGAGGGTAGAAACTAAACAAGAGAAGACAAATAATAATATAAACAGGCGGAAGCAAACCAAAAACATATATACAAATAAAGATCCCTCCCAGAACTTGGAAGTCACTAGTACAGAGCTACTAACAAAATGAGTACAAGTCCCAAAAGTAGACAACAGAGACTGGGCTGTCTCGAAAGGTAAAAGACAAGTCGATATATACAGATGGAGACTGAAATAGTACAAAACGTCGTGTGCTCACTCCCGTCTCCGGATCAGTCTGCTCCAAGCTCGATCAACGATGGCTACTAGTGCCCGGACCTGCATCACGAAATAGATGCAGAGCGTAGCATGAGTACCAAAACAACAGGTACCCAGTAGGTATCATAGGCCGACTGAACTTGAAAAGTAAAGGCAATAGGAAAAGAAGGAATAATACAAACGAGGGTCAAGAGCGAAAATCTAAGTAACGATGGAATGCACACGAGTGTACAAAGAACTAACTAAAGTAATCTATAAGCTAACTACACCTAACTGGACTCCCATAAGCCCAGAAGGTACACTCGTGCGCAAGTTAAATAAAAACCCAAACGGACCCCCATAAGCCCGACGAGTACACAGAATAACTATAACTAAAGAGAATTGCATAAAAGAACCCAAGAACGAAGAACATCGAACTAGAACCTCAACCCTAATTAGTAGAATCTGACAGTACGGAGGCCGGACCTCGAATCGGATGCTCACCAGAAGTACCCAAGTAACCAATCACAAGTAACCAGTATAAGAGGCCGGAACTCTAACCGGATGCTCTATATAAGTATCTGAGCAATAGAGGCCGGACCTTAAACCGGATGCTCTATATAAGTATCTGAGCAATAGAGGCCGGACCTTAAACCAGATGCTCTATAAAGGTGCCAATGTAGCTGCTGAAAGAGTCCCAATCGATCCATACTCTTAAATGTCCGTGAAACGCCGTCCACACATAGCCAATCAATGTAAGTCCTTGGAACCAAATTGAAAACCAAATTCAAAACGTGAAGCAAAACTAGTGTCGCTGATGTAACTCGTGAAGCCGTAACATCGGGGAAAATAAGAATAACTAAAGTCGGAGCAAGCGTATCACCTAACTAAGGCCCAAACTATCAGACTCAAGTCTGCTACACCAGTCTACAGGGATCTAAGCCGGCCGAGCGACGTCGGGGCAAAACTAAGGCCTATCGGATCCGAATCATGTATTTCTAAGGCAAGCCCTAGTCAAACCTAAACTAAGGCCCAAAATGCTTCAAATAAACAGTAACTAAGCATGCAAGTGCTCCACATAGCGAGGAGGGTCCATTAATAACACAAAGCATGCTCACAGTTACCCGAAATAGGTCAAAAACATGATTTCTTAACACCTATGCAGGATTCAATAACTACCCAACCCAAATCCCAACTAATTAACATGCATTCACACTCTCAAGCTCAATCTAAGAGAGGGAAACCATAGCCTACCTGAAAGCCGATCACACGCGCTCCAAAATCACTTCTCCGGAGCTTTTCCTTTCCGAACGTCCTCGAAACACTGCCCCGCTATCAAAATAGAGTCACAACGTTAATACGGTCGTTTAGACACCAAAATCACAACAAACGGAGACGGGTCAATTTTGGAGTCAAAACGGGAATCGTGGGACCCGCGCAGAAAATTTCGGAATTACCCCAAAAGTGGGTCCTAACCAGTTCCCCCAGCTCATTTCCCATAATGAGACACAATTTGGGGCTCAGGAACAACACAATATCAACATGCAACTAAAACCCAAATTTTCTCAAAAAAATAGAATGGGACAGCAGTTGAATCAGCATATTTACCAAAAACGGGCGATCTACAGTAAAATCTGACGACACCACAACGTTCTCCTCGAAAAACCACTCAAGATAGCCTCAAAAATCACTGAAATCGGACTTAAAACGGCTAAGAAAACAAGTCTCAAAAATTTCCAAAATTAAGCTCACAAAAAGGGTGCGGTAGCAGGTGTTTTTCGAAAATTACCTCAAACGGGGACTATAAATCACTATCCGAGCTCACCAACACGTTGTCCTCGAAAAATCTCACAACTTAGCCTTTTGAATCACCCAAATCGGTTGAGAGATGAGAGAGAGATGAGGGTTTGAAATTTGGGAAAATTGGCTGATTTTCTGCAATTTATTGCAGAAAATCTGCAATTTCCTAAAACTTAAAATTCCGACGGGGTGCTCCGAACTCGTTCGGAACCCCATGCACGCAAACGAGATATGCAACCATACCAAATTCGATATTCCAGACTCAACGGCGCAGTCAAAATTTTCATCAGAGGTAATTTCGATAAAAAGTGGGTCCCACTTCCAAAAGTCATTTTAAGTCAAAACCCACAAAAGGGCTTGGAAAGATATCGAAAACCTCCAGACACAAAAGAAGGGTCAATCTAGACCAAACTCGACATTCCGGAGCTAACCACGCTGACGAAATTCTCATCCGAGCGTGTTTACTCAGAATGTTGACCAAAGTCAAACTTAAGCCAAATTTCAAAGGATAAAACGCCTAATCGCACCGACTCACACTGAAAACCTCGGGAGTCATGTCGACCATGCTACTAGCCTAAAATGACCCTTCCGGAGCTGATGAAATCGTCAAAATTGGATTCCAATGTCATCTTCTCAAACTTTTGATCGAAAATGATCGTTCAAGGTTCATAAACTCCAAAACACAAAAGCTCACACCAGGACCAAACGAACGACCAGGTGACCGAACTATCAGTCCCAGCAAGTCATAAATGACTTGGGGTCGCTATAGGAACGCTCTAAACGACACACAGAAGGCAAGACACAAAAATGACCAAGAGGGTCATTACAATATCCACTACTAAAAAGGACTTTCGTCCGCGAAAGAAAGGATCAAGAAGTACCTGAAGGCTCAAACAAGCTGGGAAACTGCTCTCGCATCTCCTGCTCGGTCTCCCAGGTAGCCTCCTTGACTGGACGATGCCTCCAATGGACCTTAACAACAGGAATGGCTCTCGAGCGCAATCTCCTCACATCTCTGGCTAGAATGATAATTGGCTCCTCTACAAATGTCAAACGATCATCCAACTCGACTGCATCATACTGGAGCACATGAGACTCATCAGGAACATACCGCCGCAGCATCGAAACATGAAACACTGGGTGGATGACTGAAAATGCTGGAGGTAGGGCCAACTCATAAGCAACATCCCCAACTGTCCGGAGTATCTCAAAAGGCCCAATGTACCTGGGGCTAAGCTTGCCCCGCCTCCCAAACCTCATCACGCCCTTCATGGGCGACACACGGAGGAATACCCGGTCACCAACAGAGAATCTCAAAGGTCGACGCCTCTGATCAGCATAACTCTGGTGCCTACTCTGAGCCGTCCTGAGCCTATCCTGAATCACCCTCACCTGATCCAGGGCCTCCTGAAGCAAATCTGTACCACGCGGCCTAGGCTTTGTAGACTCAAACCAACCAACTGGAGAGCGACAACACCTACCATATAAGGCCTCAAACGGGGCCATCTGAATACTAGAGTGGTAGCTGTTGTTGTACGCAAACTCCGCCAAAGGCAAGAACTGGTCCCACTGACCTCCAAAATCCATAACACAGGCCCGCAACATATCCTCAAAGACCTGAATAGTACGCTCTGACTGACCATCCGTCTGTGGGTGAAATGCTGTGCTAAGGTAGACACGGGTGCCCAACTCCTCCTGAAAAGCCCTCCAAAAGCTAGAAGTGAACTGTGAACCTCGGTCTGAAATGATAGCAACAGGCACGCCATGAAGACGGACCACCTCCCTAATGTAGATACGAACCAACCTCTCGGCACTGAAAGTAGTATGAACAGGAAGGAAGTGTGCTGACTTGGTCAATCGATCCACGATGACCCAAATGCTGTCAACACCTCTAGAAGTCCGAGGCAACCCCACAACGAAGTCAATAGTGATACGCTCCCACTTCCACTCTGGAATGGGTAATCTCTGGAACTCGCCACCAGGCCTCAAATGTTCGGCCTTTACCTGCTGGCAGCACAAGCAACGGGAAATAAAGTCAGCAATATCTCTCTTCATGCCACTCCACCAATAAAGGGCTCGGAAAGATATCGAAAACCTCCAGACACAAAAGAAGGGTCAATCTAGACCAAACTCGACATTCCGGAGCTAACCACGCTGACGAAATTCTCATCCGAGCGCGTTTACTCAGAATGTTGACCAAAGTCAAACTTAAGCCAAATTTCAAAGGCTAAAACGCCTAATCGCACCGACTCACACTGAAAACCTCGGGAGTCATGTCGACCATGCTACTAGCCTAAAATGACCCTTCCGGAGTTGATGAAATCGTCAGAATTGGATTCCAATGTCATCTTCTCGAACTTTTGATCGAAAATGATCGTTCAAGGTTTATAAGCTCCAAAACACAAAAGCTCACACCAGGACCAAACGAACGACCAGGTGACCGAACTATCAGTCCCAGCAAGTCATAAAATGACTTGGGGTCGCTATAGGAACGCTCTAAACGACACATAGAAGGCAAGACACAGAAATGACCAAGAGGGTCATTACAGTGAGCAAAAGAGTCAACATATATCTTTTGATACTATATATATATACACACACCAGATATATTTTAATATACAGATACATAGAGAGAGGGTGAGAAAGAGAGTCAGTGTATCTTATCTGGCGAAGTAAATATGATGAAAAATATACTTTCAAATTTGTATCTCAGTGGAAATAATTTTGAGCATTTGCCTCAAAGCATATTCCCCTCAAGAAAGGAATGATTTTGGAGTTCGTTTGTTGTATAAAGATAAGGAGGAGCAGATACGAAGAAGAGGGCCAGTGGCTCCTCTTCTAAGAAACAAAGGTCACAAGTATATTAAATATAGGTAATCAAATTGTGCTCTCTCTTTAACAAATTGCAGATGAATGGAAAGATATTTTTTATTTTAATTAATAACTGCCACACTCTTTTTCTATTTTAACAAGTGCAAGAAACACATTTCTGAAAATAATGTAATCTAAGCAAAGAAACACTGCTACATAATTGAACCTCCCTAATTAATATTCTCACTTCTTGTTCAATGTATTACCAATGTCGAGCACGAAACGATATTTCACATCCGATTTCAGAAGACGTTCCAACGTTGTGTTCACATAGTCCATTGGCACAACTTCAATATCTGGTGTTATGTTATGCTTTGCCGCAAAATCCAACATTTCTTGAGTCTCTTTCATCCCTCCTACGCAACTTCCAGCCACTAGCTTCCTTCCTGTTTTCCACATTATATATACAAACTTTAGTAAAGACTATCTGATGCACTAAACTTTCACTATGTGCGGGAAGGGCCACATTATATATACTTTAATCTAAACTTTATTATTGAAATCATGCATAAGAAATTATTGTCCGATGCTTACCCATAAGTAGTGGAAACACGGGCAACTCCACCAGTTTTTCTGGTGCACCAACCATAACAAGCTTACCATGAGATTTCATCAACATAAGCAATGGAAGAATAGGGTGCACCGCCGAAACAGTGTCGATAATCCCATCCAATGTGTTCATTGCAGCCTGTTCGTATATTAATAATACAACTAAACAAAAGGTTAGCCCCCATTCTCAAGTTTAAATTGTTAAACTGGCATAACAACTTAAGCTTTCAGATAAGATTGTCACACACTTCAACACGGAATCAGAGCAGGCGGAGGTCGTGAATTCAAAAACCTCAACACCACCATTGTCAAAAAAAAAAAAAATCACGTGCTTAACGAATTATTATATTAACATTCATCTGCTCAAGATCGCGACTGATCAAGAAAGAGTCTGCGCCTAAACGCTCAATTGCTTCTAGCTTCTTATTAGCAGATGTACTAATGACAGTCACTTTGGTTCCAAATGCCTTAGCGAACTTAACAGCCATATGTCCGAGCCCTCCAAGACCAACAACACCAATGTGCATTCCAGGCTTATCGAGTCCAAAATATTTCAAAGGACTATAAGTAGTAATTCCAGCACATAACAGGGAAGCAGCGTCTATCGACAAGTTTTCAGGCCAACGAACTGCAAAATGCTCATCGGATACCATCATGTCAGAGTAACCTCCAAACGTAAGGGTTCCATCTAAGCTATAGCCGTTGTATGTAGGAATCTGACGAGGGCAGTAATTCTCGAGATCAACGCTACAATTCTCACATTTTCGACATGATCTTACCATACATCCAACACCTACTTTGTCTCCAACCTTAAATTTCTCCACCTTGCTTCCCACCTCAGTTACAACACCAACAACCTCATGCCTGCAATTATATTTACAATTAGTTACACTCACGAGTAGATCGTATCGACACAAATTCCGCTAGTTTTTACTCTCTGTCGCAGTTTATATGACTTACTTTCCTTTTTAGTCTGTCCCAAATAAAATGACATATTTAACTTTAAAATGTCTATTTTATCCTTAATGAAATGATTTATAGTCACAGTAATTTCTATCATTCATTTTAGTCTTCAAGTTTTAAAAGTCTTTCTTTCTTTCTTAAATTCCGTGTCGAGTCAAACTAACTCTTATAAAATGGGACGGAGGGAGTACCATGTCCCATCAACTCAGGATTTACTGAGGTATCAAGAGCTCAAAATGGCCAATTATAGACTAAGAACCAAATCAGGATTGCTTTCAAATAAAAAATATACAGTAATGTGAAAAATTGAAAAGATACAGAGAACAGGAAAACTAGCTAGTAAATATTCTTCGCTGAAAAATTACTTATGTGTATATATAGTGGATGTTGAATTCCATTAACTTCTTTGTGCCTTAATATTTTTGAATCTCGTTAATGAAAATTCTGGTTAGTATTTTTGGATCTAACAATTAAAAAAAATCTGAATTTTTTTAAACCAAAAATAAAAGATCAAATCAATTTACCCAGGCACCATGGGGTACTTGCCATTTCCCCATTCATTCTTGAGTTGATGAAGATCAGAATGACAAATTCCACAATACATAACTTTAAATTGCACATCTTTTTCACCTGTCACCCTGTAACCATTAACACAAACTGATCATCATAAAATTTACAATAAAACAACAACAACAAATTCAGTATAATCATACAGGTGGGGTCCGAGAAACTGAGTGTCACTAGAAAAAAATGATTTTTCTTAGAGGCAGTTGCAAGTGACAATTACATTTTAGCACTCTTTGTAAATGTTGTCGGAGCCTATAACGACATTGGATCCAATAACAAATACGGGTAAAAATTTCAACACTCTTTGTTAATTGACATATTTATTGCCACTAAAAACCATTTTTATTATAGCATATGTACTCAGATGTTACCCTACCTCAGCTTATAGAGAGTTTGTTTCCGATTGAAATGAAAAACACATCATCAAAATTAAAAATAATAATTTGTACCTTCTTGAAAAATTGAAAGGAGAAAGAACTCCAGAAGTGTCTCTAGTTGCCCATCCAAATGCCTTAATTGGATGTTCATTTTCAAATGATTTTGCCATTTTTTTCGTTTGAAAAATAAAAATATTTATGTAACGTATACATAGTATAAATTATAATAGAGAAAAATGTAGAACAATATGAATGATACAAAAGTGCTTATGTTATGATCCATATTTATAGGATTTTGAGTGAAAAATATGTGACGTTATCGATGAGGTGTAACAACTAATGACTTAAACAAATTGGATTTTGACTTCTTTTTTGTGGTCGATAGCTGTAGAGTCCTACTTTGCAGGACTTTTAAAAAAAGGTTTCACACTTTTTTTTATTTCGAATCTATCTAGAGTTTGAAGTTTACGAGTTTTAAAAATATTCTTCTTTTTAATATTATAATGTATTTAGTGAAATCTTATAATGAGGTCCACGAAAGTCGAAAAATGGAGTGTATACAAATCAGCTTAATCTTAATTTCCATGTAGAGGTAGAGAGATTGTTTTTGAAGGATCATTGATTCAAAAGCTATATATCAGTAGGTATGAAAAAAAGAAAACAACAATTCTTCCGTTAAGGTGAGAGCTCTCTTCCCATGACAAGCACTACCTCACCCCTTGCTTTGCAACCATCGTCTTTTATCTGAATGTCAAAAATAGATGTGTGTGTACGCTACATGGAAAAAGTTGTAAAGCATTGAATGAAGGGAGTTGGGAGGGTCGGGAAAGGTTGTGTAAACAAAGCAGCTGCTATGAAAACAATGACAATTACAAAATAGTGCAATAACTTAAACACAATATGTACGTTAATTATTTTTTTTCCTTAAATTGCCCCAAAAAAAAGGTTCTTGAAAAGCTTTCCAAACGTGAAAAATTTAAAGTTAATATTAGTGGCTAAAGAATATCCACGTAGATAATGTGAAAGTATAATTTAAAGAAAATAAAAACATCAAAGTGTGAAATTTGGACCAATTAATAATTGCAATTTCCGACTTATTCCCACTACATTTTTATCGAGTTATTTTCCCCTTTTTTCCCACTACTTTTTGTTTTCTTTTTTCGTCATTTTATTTGAACGGTATAATTTTAAATATTAGATACAAATAAGTTTTTATCGTTGGGGCGCTACCACTCTCATGTTTGGTATTTAAAATGTACATTATTTACGCAAAAAAAAATTCTATAAGAAAACCTTTGTCTGCATTATTATTTACATCAAATCAAATTAATTAACTTTAGCAATTAAAAATTGAAGTGAGAACATATATTACGTAATCAGGATTAAAGATTAATTTGGTATATAATAAACGCTTAACTTTTACTCATTGATTTGTCAAGCACTACACAAATTTACCACATAATTATCTAAGTAATATGTATTTTTATCTTGTTTTTTAATAAATTAAAGTTAAAATAATTTATTGATTTGCTATAAAAACACAGTGCGGCTAAGTATTTACCATAATTTGGCCAAACTTAACAATTTGATATTTCTTATTCCTATTTTTTTTAAAAATCCATTGGCATTATAGATATTGATTATTGCATTTTGCTCTGCTCACTAAAGAATGAGTTAATATCTTAAAAGGTCACTGAAGTATGAGAAATTATCTAGCAAAGTCATTAAACTTTGTTTTGTATCAATAAAATCACTCCACTTAAAGCACTTATCTTCAAAAATCACTTGACTTTATTTATTATTAAAATAAATTTAAAATGACAAAATAAAATATTTTTCATGCCATGTAATCATAAATCCGTCAAATAAATAAAATTTATAGAGTTTATTTATTATCATACCAACCCACCCTGAAACCCATATACCCGATTCATGCTCTGATTTTCATTATTTCCTCTAGCAAATTGTATAGCTGAAAAAATTGAAGTTGTTGGCAAGTTACAATTGTTATTTCTGATTAGAGAAATTAAATCATCACATAAAAAAAATGAGAAATCAACTTCTTCATCTTTTTGTGGTCAAATTACATCCTTCATTGTAGATATTAACTTCTTAAAAAACATTCTCTAACTTCATTAAATTCATGTCCAATCTTTTTTTGTTTGGTAACAACTGTAAAAGATTACCATACCATCAAAACCAGTACAAATAAAGAGCACCTATACCTTGTAACAGGGATTAGGCCTCCTACAAAGCAAAAAACTTAATTACAAAGTAAAAATTGAACAAACTCCTACAACTCTGTGTTTTCTTTGAACTACTAAGAAATTGTAATCTCTCTACAATCTCCTTTTTTATCTGTGTTGCCGCCTCCTTTGTATGCACAGACTTGCCTTTGAACTTTTTCGAATTCATGGCTCTCCATATGTGATATACGATTGCTCCACAAGTAGCCGCAATAGTCTCCCTCTTAACTTTGTTCCAGTGTTTCAACATTATTCTTTCCAGTGTCTGCTTGATCCCATTGTTTTGTAATGCTATTCATGTCCATTGTTCCAGCTCTTTCCATATAGCCTGTGCCCACTCACACTTCACGAATAAGTGCATTGTAGTCTCCATGACCTTCTTATCACAAAGGCAGCAATCAGTGTCTTCCACCTGAATGTGTAATTTCAGTTTCCTCTCCTGCGTGAGTAATCTTCCTTGTACAGCCAACCACATTATGAATCTATGTTTAGGTATAGCCCTAGATGTCCACACTAGCTCAGCAGTTCTCATATGTGGTTGTTGGCCAGTTAGTGCTAAGTAACTGCTAGTGATGGAATATTTTCCAGTTTGTGTGAGCATGTATCTTCCTTGGTTATACCAACCCTGCATTTGGACCGACATTGCATTTAGCTTCCTCCAATACCATCTACAATCTACAGGTGTTCTATGATTCCATATTGTTGCTCCATCTTTCATAAATATCCCATGCATCCACTTTACCCATAGGGACTCCTTTTCCTCAATTATTTGCCATAGCAATTTCCCTACTGATGCAATATTCCAGATACTGCTACTTTTGATGTTTAATCCACATTGTCTCTTTGGATAACAGATTTTTTCCCAAGATACTAGAGCTACCTTTCTCTTATCATTAGCTTTGCCCCACAAGTAAGTCCTACAAATCTTGTCTACTTCTTTAAGTATGCTTTGGGGTAGGATAAACACTGCCCCCCAAAAGCTATGGATGGAAAATAATACTGCATTTATCACCTGCAGTCTACCAGCATAAGATAGTTGTTTTGAATAAGTCGCGGTAATTCTGTGAGTGATCTTATTAATCAGTGAGAAGCAATCAGCCTTATTCCACTTCCTTGGCGATAATGGAAGTCCCATAAATTTAATAGGAAATTCACCCCTCGAGAAACCAGCTCTATCCAAGATCTGATCCCTTGTTTCCTCATCCACCCTAGCCATAAAAACACTTGATTTTTCTATGTTAGCCACTAAACCTGTGGCAGCACTAAAGTGATCTAATGCCTCCATCACTCTATTTACTGAAGGCAAATTTCCTTTACAAAAAATCAATAAGTCATCAGCAAATATTAGATGAGTGAGTTTCAACTCTTTGCACATTGGATGGAGTCCAAAATCAGGCAACAAACTCATTGTTTTAAGTATTCTTGACAAGTACTCCATTACTAACACAAACAACAAAGGCGATATAGGATCTCCTTGCCTAAGACCTCTCTTACCAGCAAAGAACCCATGATTCCCTCCATTGACTTTTACTGAAAACATTGTAGTGGAAACACACAGCATAGTCCACTTAATAAACTTTTCTGGAAACCCAAAACCCCCAAGTACTTCCTCTAAAAACTCCCAACTTACCATGTCATAGGCTTTCTTCAAATCAATTTTCATAAGACACCTAAGTGAGGCATTCTTCCTATTGTAGTGTCTTAGAATATCATGACAAATCAAAACATTATGAATCATTGCTCTTCCCTGGACAAATGCTGATTGGTTTTTTGCTACTATCAGATTCACTGCTTGCTATGACTTAACCATGATAAATCAGTATAGTTTGATGTAAACGCCATATGCAAATAAGTATACTAGAAAATACAATATCATATTTATTCTCTCAACTCCTTATTCCTTTTGATACACAAAACATAAGAAATAAACCAAACAGCAAAAACGTACAGGCTTAATACAAAATCATAACCCTACAACACACTCATTTTCTTGACCAAGATGTCCCCTTCATCTCAATTTTTGTTCAATGTGTTGCCAATGTCAAGCACAAAACGATACTTCACGTCCGATTTCAAAAGGCGTTCCAACGCTGTATTCACGTAGTCCATTGGCACAACTTCAACATCTGGTGTTATGTTATGCTTTGCCGCAAAATCAACCATCTCTTGTGTCTCCTTCACCCCTCCTATCGCGCTCCCCGCCACTAGCTTCCTTCCTATTACACACATTATATTAAACATACGTATCAATATTAAAAAAATGTATATACAAAATCGTCGATTTAAGACCAAACGTACCTAAAAGCAGGGGTAATACAGGCAACTCTAGTGGTTTTTCAGGGGCACCAACCATCACAAGCTTCCCATGAGTTTTCAACAAATTAATCAATGGAAGAAGAGGGTGAATCGCGGATACAGTATCGATGATGCCATCTAGTGACCCCGCTGCACCCTGCTCGTATTTAACATACAAACGAAAATTAGTATTATTCGTAAGTCACACCTATGTTATAAATTTGAAATTGAAACAGAGTTGATTGATTGATCGACCTGCATTTGGTCAGGGTCACGACTGACCAAAAACGAGTCTGCCCCTAAACGATCAATTGCCTCGTCTTTCTTACTAACAGCTGTACTTATCACAGTAACTTTGGTTCCGAACGCCTTAGCAAATTTCACAGCCATATGTCCAAGACCACCAAGACCAACAACACCAATGTGCATTCCAGGTTTATCTAGTCCATAATATCTCAAAGGACTATAAGTTGTGATCCCTGCACATAACAGGGGAGCTGCTTCCATTGGTAAATTTTTGGGCCAATGAACCACGTAGTGTTCATTCGTTACCATTATATCCGAGTAACCACCATAGGTGGGGATTCCATCGGTGTAAACACCATTGTATGTCATGATCTGATCGCGACAATAATTTTCAAGATCGTTGTCACAGTTTTCACATTTTCTACATGATCCTACTAAACATCCA